ACGGACAATTGAAGAGCATCATGACACGGTCTTCCCATCAATACAATTGATTCTGCAGACTCTGGCTGATGCTGCCAGCCCAATTCTTTACTGGAGAAGCTGGTACCACATTCCCTTGCAAACACCGCAAAGTTGAATAGGGAGTGGCAGCTAGTAGTAAACTTCCTTCCAAAGTTGAACCCACTCAGCCTTTGCTTTTGCTCTCCATACACGTGTCTTTGTCCATCTGTTTGCATTTGGAAAGGAAGATGATGTCTGTCTGTATCTGTACAAGTTTTTTCATGCAGTTGATAGATTTCCACTCCATACGGCTAAATGCAGTGCCTTGCATGATGACAGGTGTCAGAGTAACAGCCGTGTTAGTCTGTATTCGCAAAAAGCAAAGGAGTACTACAGCTACAGCTCATGCTCAAATAAATTGGTTAGTCTCTAAGGTGCCACAAGTCCTCCTTTTCTTTTTGTGAATACAGACTAACACGGCTGCCACTCTGAAACACGCGTCTTTGAAGACTCAAATGGTAGTCTTGTTTTTTACTTAGCGCCAACAGCTGTGAGCATTTACTCCCTGACTCATAGATGTCATTTGAAGGGCTGGCGCCCCATCACTAAGCTGGCAGAGGTCAGCACAGATAACCTGAAACAACATCACTGACAGGGGAGTGAGACTTCACTCCATAATGCTTCAATAGTCTTATGTGGTTCAGAATGGAAAGCTGTCTGATAGCTTGGTTGTAATAAGAGCTTTTGGCTGAATCAGACTAATTTCAGCTCATTAACCATCTGTCATCGAAGTCAGAGGCACACTTTTGTCAGCAAAAGCTGATGGTCAGTGTCAAGTTCAGCACTTCTGTGAACTTGTAACATCCAGTGTTAATCGCCAATGATTGTTAAGGAGGACATGATTAATAACAGTCCTAGTGAAGCCAGCTGGGCAGTATCAGGTCTGCTTGTGAATCTCTGGTTGACAGAAGAGCCCGTCAGAGATCACCATGTTGTTGGCAACTGCAAATTCCAGCAGTTGCTGCACACTCCTGTTCTTCTGCCCAATACCAAACTTCCTGAGTGTACGCGACCTGATGTAATTTTTTCTGCGTGCAGGAAACTAAAGTCACCCCGTATCGTGATGACATTTCTTTCCAGAGTGTCATTAAAGAGTGACCACAGTTGCTGGTAAAAAAAAATATCTGCAGCTACATTGTTGGCCTTGGTTGGATCATTACATTGCGATGATGGTAAGATGCCCACAGCTGGTACAGAATCGGATGGTGCTAAGTCACTCATTAATCACTCACCAATCCTGCAATCATCAGGCATTGGATGAAAGTACAATGCCCACCTGTGCTAGAGCAACCTGTTAGGGCAGCCTGAGAAAAAAAAATCATATCATCTTCGATTTTCTTTTCACTCATTCCTGGCTAGTGCACTACAGCTAAAGTGCAGATCTCAGTGTTCAGGATTTTCAACAGCTTGATAAGGGGGAGGGGCTTTAGCTGTTTCGGACAATGTGCAAATGTTCCAGTTTTACATTTGTCACCAACATGAAGAAAATACTGGAATGGCCGCTTTACAAGGTTTTATTGGTCATTTTTTGCCTCAGTGGCAAAGAAACTCTTAGTTATTTCAGCTACAAAGATATCTGACAACTGCCACGTTAGTTTCAATGTGAAAAAAGGAATTTAGTTTCATAGCATTATACATATATACACACACATATACACTGCTATATCTCTTTATTCGATTGTCCATAGACTCTTTGCTCTTCTTCTTCCCCTCATCCTGGGAAGTCAGGGTTTGTATCTTTTTTCTCTTCCATCAGTTTAGGTCCACATAAATTCAAGAATAAAAATAGAATCAAATAATAAGATAGAACAAAAGAAAAAGAAAAGCATAATAATAAATACATTTAAGAAGCAGTTTCACTTACCATTTTACATTGATGGAATTGCCACAAAATGGGTTTAAATCAGTGCTAAGGAACATATCCAAGGGGCAGGGTATAAAAGATTCTTTCCAGGTCCAGGTGTATGCATTGGAACCTGGTCTCTTGATAGTAAAAGGCTCCGTAGGAAGAGAATGGGTCTTTAGGGTTAGGGAAACAAGGACTTGTTTCCTGGTCTCGTCCCCTCAGCATCCATTACATAAGACAGGCTTCTTTCTTCCTTCTTGTTGTTGTCTTCCATTGGTGTTACTGACATCTTCATAAATATATGGGAGTTCACTGGGAGTAGCTTTTCCATGCTACCTCATATTTAAAATCCACTCTGAAACTTCCAGAAGGGAAAAATGGCCAAGGAATGAGGTGGAATAACATTTATTTTTAAAGTATTTTTCCACGGTGCAGAATAAATAAATGCTACCTACGTCACATCTATATCTGGTCATTAAATAATGGATATCTGTGACTGTTTGAAATTCCCATTGGTATAGCAATTCCTCCTCCACTCTATGATATGTATGCCTGCGTATTTCTGATGCATGAGATGCACTAACCCATGTGTCCGTCAAGCTGGGAAGAACCACAGGAGAAATGAGGAAAAATATTGCAAACTGCAAAAAGTCGGAAGCAATCATCTGAAATGGACTTTTAAAAATGGCAGGTGTAACAAATATAAATCAAAGCAATATATAAAACCTTTATTTGCTTTGTTAAATTACTGCGAAGTGAAAAGTGAACAGAAATATTTCTGGTGTGATTTAAACATACATTTATTACATTTTCAAAAGATTTTCATTATTTTTTGAGAACATGCCCCCAAATGGTCATTTTCTCTTCCCAGCCATACGGTATGAGAAGAATAGAATAATAATAATAAAAAAATGTATTGCTTAGTACTTGTGGGGAGCTCTTTAACCATAGATTTTGAAGTGCTTTGCAAATAAATTCTGTTACCTTCCTATTTTTAAAGACATGGAAATTGAGACACTCAATGGTTATGTGACTCACCCAACATCACCTTGTTAGTCAGTAGAAGAACTCAGGTCTTCTGACTTCTAGTTTTATGTCTTATCTACTAGGGAGCAGTTCACTGCTGGATCAGGCAGAAGAAGAGTTAATGGTGAGGGAGAAGGCACAGAATAAGGCTCTGATTCATCAAAGCAATTAATCATGTGCTTATATTCTTTGCTGAATTGGAGCTTAGTCATATGAATATCTTCAGTAACAGCAGTGGAAAGCCAGAAATGTACTGGCCAGGTAAATTTCTTTGTATATATGTTTCCTTTTCAAGTATGATCCAATCTAAAGAATTTCCTCTAATTTAAGACACTAATTAAGGCCCCAATCTTGCAGGATGCTCTTCATGGACAGATCTTTGTACTTATATGGAGTCCCACTGAAGTCATAAGTATCTATCTATGCTATTCCTGTAGCTCTCATCATCATAGTTACTAAGGGCCAGATCGCCAGTGCAAACTGATGTATCTCAATTAACTTCAATACAGCGATGCCACCTTACACCAAGAAACCCTGGCATGTTATAGTAAATGGGAGCTTTTCCATTGACTTCTGGGCCAGGATTTGATCCCAAATGAGGATCTGGTCCTAAATATCTACATATATTTGCCTCATGTCTCCTTTATACATCAGTAACTCTCAATGCACAAACCTTCTAGCTGTGACCTCAACATTTATTAAAAAGCACTCTGATTTAGATAATTTACCTCTTCTGCCAGGAAGTATCATTTTTTAACCTGAGCTTGAGGTAATTATTCCTACTTAAATTTCAGCAGCCTGATGTTGATGCTTTGCTTATCATGTACAAGCTCTTCATCTTCAAATATCAAGAGTATTTTTATCATACCCTTTGCGTAAAATGGAAACATAGGAATATGGAAACAAAATATGCAGTAAGGTAGAATGAAACGTGTTTGATTTCTTTTTCTGTTCTATTTTTTAATCTCCAGATGGCCCCTGAAACGGATCAGATTTTTCTGTAGTCTGTTCACATACTACTTTAATTATCTTGATTAACTGGTAGCACATGTTGAAAGATGCATATAAGAAGGTAATACCATGATATTATTTAATTGCTTTTTGAAACTTAGATCTAGAGAAATGATTAAGCCATAATTTAAATATCCTACTAGAAGACAAACTGATAAATGTTATGACATAACTTTAGAGATCACAGGACTGACATTCTGTATCAGTGTACGCTACTTCAGCTCTATCAGACTGGGGTGAGTTACTCCTAATGTGAGTAAGGTCAGACTCAGGCCATTTGTGTTTAACACAAATTTTTGAAATATTTATCAGCTGATGGACTGGCAGAGTCCAACAATATGCAGAGCTCCTTCATCTACCTAAAGAGGACTAATGGTACTGAAAATGAACTGAGCTTGTGCCTTGCTTTATTGGCTACTGGGAAGAGTTTGGTAAACAGTGAAAACTGGACTGGATACTGGTCCCTGCTTCAACAGTACAAAGCACCCAGAATCCCAGTGGATTGGTGCCCCAAGAGTTCCCCTGCTTGGGGAAGTCCCCAAGGATTATAGAGCCATATGGTGGCCACTTTATTCCCCATCCCCACTCTCTGATAGAGGGCATGTCTATCAGAAAGGGCGCATAGGCAGGGCCACTCTACCCTTCAGGAGCCATTGTTAGCCAATGTAAAGTAGAGTCACTCTATGCTGGGGATAGGACTGCAGGCCAGGATCAGAGAGACAGAAAAGTGATTTAACTTTTGAGCTCCCTGCTGAACTGTACCGATGAAGTCCTGGAACTCTAGCTCAATGGATTGTGCAAATTCTCTCTCAACATTCCAGCAAGGCCATGCTGCTAACAGAATTACTTTACTTTCAAAGCTTTATGCTCCTCAGGACAAATTCTGAGATTCTTATTGAGCAAGTATCTGCCAATGGGAGATATGCTTGTGTAAGTCTCTCTGAATTTGGTCCTGTATTTTTGACCTACTGCACTGCAAGGCTATCGTTTACAAACGTATCCATGGTGGATTTGTTTAGCTATGTTCTGTAAAAGAAAGGAATAATTAAATACTTACGGGATCCCTTTTTACAAGGCCTGGATTAGGCACTACTGCGATGAGGTGGGCGATGGTAAACACAGAGTTAAGAACGTAGGAGAAAAACAAATTCTTATGCAGTGTTATCCTTTGACAGCTGAGGCTCCTGAAAAATATGTACCACAAGTTGTAAATCAGTGCTTTTATTCTGATGTCACTTTAACAAGCACATACTGGCAACTGTTTCTCAAGAATGCCCTTTGGCAACAGTCAGTCAGAAAACACATGCCTAGCATTGCAGCCATGGGACACAGCAAAGTTTTTATTTTTTTATTTTTACACCTGTTTAGCACCACATGCTTTCCAGACCATGCTGTGAGGAGCTATCAGCTTAGATTCAGTACCCTAGAGGTTGGTTTTTTCACAGCACCAGAAATGTTAAGTGGTGAAGCAGAACCCTAATAATTATTACAGATGTGCATGAATGCAAATTCTGAACAGAAGGAATACTGTTTTCAAGGAACTGCTCTCTGGAAACTGAATATCTCAGACATTCAGATAAAAATTAGTTGATACTTTAGGAATTAGTGATGAGCCAGGGTGGGAACCTTGGACTGGAATCCCCTTCAATTTCAGGGAGATTTGGTTTCGTATCCTGCATGGTTCCAGCTCAGATCACGCACCAGAATAGACCTCTTTTTCTGTTCAGATGTGGCTGAAATCTTAGATGATTTGCTGCTTTTTTCAGGATTTCCACCATTCAGGGTAAAAATCTCACAAGAACAGCTCATATTTCTGTACCAGCAAATCATTACCATAGCCTCGGTTTGGCCTCAGACCTGATCTCTAGCCAAAAGCTAATTCACATCTGAATCTAAACATCACCTCCTCAGCTCGTCTTTACTAAGAAGGTCTAACCTCAGTGGGGCCCTATGGTAACTGAAAGTGAGCAGGCAAAACTGCTAGGTAAATGAATGATCAGCAAGTGAACCAGGTAAAGAGCTAACTGTAGCTGAGGGAACTCTTACTCTGCACACTACAAGGAGCCATTTGAACTGATGGCAGGCTTCCATTTAAAATCCACTGTTCTGTGTGTGTGTGTGCGCGTGTGCATGGGTGGGGCTGTGCGAGCATGCACGCATGTGCATGCTACAGGTTGGTGTGTGCATCCAGAATGCTCTGTCTAAAAAAAGAAGTAAACAGACTCTAACAGATCTAACTCCAGTTTCCTGTTAGTGATTCTGGGAGGGCCACTGTCAGGAGCATTGGCCCCTGTTGTGAAATGGGGTCAGATGACACCACAAATTAAAGAAGAGCATTGAGTCCCATGGTGTTGGCATGGAGAAAGTGTGCGCTGAAATACTAACTCTGCTGCTGTGGTCTCCTCTGTGCTAGTCTGTGGGGACAGAGTGTGACATCATTTCTTTTAATGGCTTGCAAGTATTGTCACAATGCCGGTCCTCTGGGGCTTCTCAGGGGTGAGAGTTTATTGGAATGAATTTGTTTTGCACAGGAGTCACATAAGTGCAATGAGTGCCACACCTGTTATTTGGTCCAGGGTTAGAAAGCTCTCCCTTCTAGCTCACAGGGTCACCCAGAAATGGTAAATATAGTACCAGTCACTACTGAATCACTGTATCCCTTTAGGTAGTGCAGCCACTGCCAACAGCCAAGACACCACATAGTCCCAAAGTAGGGAAAAAGTGTGTCTGGCAGTGAAGGACTGTGGATGTATGAGGGAACTTGTTCACTTAACAGCCACACATGCAAGCTGTCTTGCACAGAGTCTAAAGCCAAGGGCTCTATTACTTCAATCCAAATTTCTTGTGCTACTCTCTGTTTGCCTGTCCTTCTCTCTAGCATAGTTCAAATAATCGACCATGTGGGGTCTAAGTGCCAAAACATGACTAAAAGTAGCATTTCAGAATAAAAAGTAATTTTATTCTCTTTTTCCACACACCCTTATCCCCCAAAGACCTTGCATATTTGGACGTCAGTTGAAAAAGGAAAATGTAGCCAGTAGAATTTGCATAGGATTCTTGTGATATGCTCTCACAAGCTTTTTTACACAGTAGGCTGGCAGCTGCCTGCTGTACTAGTTGTAGTTTTACTGCCACTAGTTCAGAAGAATTTCTGAAGTGCCTCTTCCTGTTTTCTAACGATGATCATTTTAATGATCATTTCTGTGACTTAAAACTGGGTCTCGGTGGTGAAGTAACCAATGGAGATTCCAGATAGCATTAATGCTTTGCACTTACGCTGTAGTACGCTTCATCCAAGGATTTTGAAGCACTTCACAAACACTAATTAATGAAGGCTCAGGAAACTTCTGTGAGCTAGTTAAATACAAATCTGAGAGATGGCTATACCAGCGCAGAGAAGTCAAATGGATATGCAAGGTTGGAAAGTGGGTCAGTCAAAGAGCTATCATTAGAAACAAGGAGTCCTGATTCCCAGTCCTGTGCCCTAGGCATTAGAAATGTTGCTTCTTCCCTTAATATCTTGATGGATTTGATGGTATTATTACCATCATACCTATCACACATCACAACCCTCTCAAAAAAACCCCAAAAAACAGATAATCAAATACAACTGCAGTAGAAACTATGCAGATGTCAACATGTGTGCCCACTGTAATTACTCAATCGCTAGAAATGTCATCTTTTCTAAGGCCTTGTTTATATTACCGCAGTAAGTTAATCTAACTCCAGTTACGTGAATAACATAACCGGAGTTGACGTAGTTTAGGTTGAATTACCGCACTGTGTGAATGGGAGACACTGTCCTGTTGACTTCCCTTACTCTTCTCAGAGTGGTGGATTACCGGAGTCTATCTGAGAGTGCTCTCCCGTCGATTTAGCGGGTCTTCATTTGACCCGCTAAATTGACACCTGCTGCATTGATTGCAGCAGTGCCGATCTACCGGTTAATGTAGACTAGCCCTAAGAGAAGGAGAATACTGTGGCAGTGGTGGATACCATTGTAAGGTAACTGTTAGCAAATGTGGACTTTAATGGTAACCGACAACTCTGGTGGTATTAGTGGAGTAGGATGACATGAACAAGTAGTTGTAACATTATGTTCCTGAAGTGCACTAAATATTTAATGTAAAAAAGAAAGATTACTTGTGCCCTAGGTAATTTCAAGTGGCACATTAAGATAATGCTTTGTTGAAGAGAATGATGGTGTTTTGCTCAGGGACAGTACTTAGTGTACTTAAAAGACCTTATTAAACGATGTTTATCATTTTATTTTTTATTGTTTGTAAGTTTGAAACACTTTCTTCTTCCTCACCTAATTTTGCCTTTTTTCACAAACACTGATTTTTCACCATAGTTTTGAAATGGAGAGAATGGAGGAATGAACTTATACTAACAACAATTTACATTTATATAGTGTCCTGTCATACCAAATCAGCTTTGATTTTGCATCGATTGATGTCTGCACAGAATGAAGAACAGATGGCCGTAACTGGTCTGGGCTTCAGCCCTTTTGCATTGCTCCAATGGCACAAAGAGGTCAGAAAGCTGATTTATATCATCAACTAGGAATTTCCCTGGTGTGGAAGAATTCCCAGGTGATATAGCTGGCTTTACACAGCTCACTCTCCTGGCTATGATATAGGGGAAGAGTTCAAGGACGGAGCTGCCATGGCCAGAGTGTACTTCTTTCTCCCTTTAGCCAACTGTGGAATGGCCTCTTGAGGCCTGTGGCAATTCTGCCTAATTTAAAATAGCCCTAAGTCTTCTATCAGTGCCTGGACTAGCCCCTAGCAGTCCTGGGGAGCAGGAGAACACAAAAGTGGCTTTAAAAAAGCTCTGACAAAGCTGTAGCTCTGAGCCAATGTGTTTGTACATGAACTACTGCTGCTGATACAGACCTGAGGGAAAATGTGTATGGAGAATTTGTAAGGTTCACAGAGATAGTGGCTATTACTTTAAAAAGAAAAATGGATGAATTTGTAGTTTAATTTTGAAAGGCTTCCCCCAGGCAAAATGGCACAGGCTCAAAGTAGGTCAACTTTTTGGTCCTAGACCTTTTTATACTACCTTTTAGCTAGAGGGTACTTTCATTCTTTTAACCAAAGGTTCACATGGCTTATTTACAGAGCAGCACAAAGATCCTAGAAGATTTTAAGATCCAAATATCCAGGCATGAAACTATACCTTGTGTGGTTTTCCATGATTCCTTATCTTCCTAGCTGACTAAATGAAGTAATTGAATTAGTGTACTGAATAGTGCTTTGTTTTAAATTACTGGAGTGAGATAAAGAAACAGGTGAAAATCAATGAAATTTTGTGCTTTCAAAATTGGAAATTTTAGTTCAGAGAAGCACTAGCTTGGGAAATAGAAATGCTGTTGAGAACCCGGGCCTCATCAACCATTCCTTCTTACTGAACCGTAAACTCTTGTTGAAGACAAGGCACATAAGAAATGAATGACTAGATCCTGCATTACATATCATGGTGGAGGAGGGCAAGAGTTCTTGAAGATCACAGGTTTATTACTGTGGTTAGTCAGAACTTGCAAAATCAAGTTGGTGATTTGGTTAGAGTTGATTCTCCAATGGGCAAATTTTGGATTTGTTTTTTTTACTAGAAATCCTGGGATACATAAAAATCACAGAGTAATTGAGAGCAGTGTATGCAAATCATGTCCTTTCCCTCTCACTGAGGTAATAAAATAATTTGAAATTGCTGGATGTTTTCTGTTGGAGGTAAAATCCTGTATACCTTACTTGTGCGAGTAAGAACTTCAATGGAACTAGTCCCCTGGGTAAAGATAGGATTTTGGGTTTTCTATATAAAATGGCATGTCCCGGAGTCTAAAATGAAAAAGCCTTATCATATAATATTGACAGGTTTCAGAGGAACAGCCGTGTTAGTCTGTATTCGCAAAAAGAAAAGGAGTACTTGTGGCACCTTAGAGACTAACCAATTTATTTGAGCATGAGCTTTCGTGAGCTACAGCTCACTTCATCAGATGTATACCGTGGAAACTGCAGCAGACTTTATATACACACAGAGAATATGAAACAATACCTCCTCCCACCCCACTGTCCTGCTGGTAATAGCTTATCTAAAGTGATCAACAGGTGGGCCATTTCCAGCACAAATCCAGGTTTTCTCACCCTCCACCCCCCCCCCCCCCCACAAATTCACTCTC